TGAGCGCCTGCCTTTTTTTTTGTTGATGCCACATGGCATCAACTACTCTCTTTTGTTGTAGGAACGTAACACTTTCTTCTCGCGCCTAGATATTTTACGTCTTTTACATCTTTATTTTTTTGTGAACTTTTATTTTTTCTCTTATATTTGTTATCGTGCTCGCTCTCTTCCTTTGTCTTTGTTCGATTTTATACCTATCGTTTTAGTTTCCATCTTGATTCCACCACACTTGCCACCGCTTTCTTAGCAAGCCCCTCGTCTTTATCTCTTCTTGGCATTTCTTAAGGTTTTAGATGATACCCTTATCAGGCTGCCTCCATATTCCAGTAGAACATCCTATAGCGAACCACCTTGGTTTTTTTTTGGTAAATGTTGTTGGTAGGTAGGATGACAGTTCAAACAATCAATTGTTTCTATTTTTAATCAATATTCAATTTCATGCTCTCATAAGGTTCCTTCCATCGAGATATATGGGCAAACCCATCTTTTTCTTCGTTATAAAGGAGAACATATAGTTTTGTTTAACCTCTTTGTCTTTTATTATTAGCAAATTCTCATTGGGTCAGCCCAACATGGAGATTACTAAAGTTTTTTGTCGGATTTACAATTGGTGGAAGTCATTTTGTTGCGCTTTTTTACCCCTTGCACATTGTTATTAAACTATTCTAAGAAGCAGAGTATGCTAGGCTTTTTTCTCTCACTGGACTTACTATAGCATTTGTTTCGCAATAAATATGTTAAAGTGCTGCCTCACATTGCCTTTTCTCATGGACCACCAATCACTATTATCTAAATACTATTTCCTCGGGCTATATTACTTTAATCATTCCTCTTTATATTCAATGGTTCAATATTTGGCAAATCCTTGCAAATTGATAATGCCATTGCTTGCTTTCTAGGCCTTTGGCGGCTTGTGTTCTGGTTTAGCTAGACATTTCTTTTTTACTTGAAAAATGAAGTATGGATTGATTTCTTGTGAATATTGTCAAAAAGTAAAATTTGAAGGCATGCCGCCATCTTGTACAAATTTTGGGCAAAGATTTTTTTAATCTTTTTATGCTCATCTAGAATTAAGAAAAATAAAATGTCAAATACAAGAGGCATTAGGGATCATAGCCAACCTGCAACTTACTTGCGACCACTTAGGAGACTTCTCAATCATTTCATATCAAAAATCAGAATTTGGAACTGACTTTTCATTTGGATTTTGAGCTGCCTACTCTTAACTTCCATGCTATAGTGGCAGCTTTTTTACCCTCGTACCTTTCCATTGATTTTGACAGTTTATAGTGCAACTTCTCCCAAACCCCAAATTTATGATCATAATGATGACTATGATGCTTTATAGTCATATGTACATCGTTGACTTATTGATGAATAGGAGGCTTCACATTCTATTTATTAGGCAAACCACAAATTAAAAAAAAAAAAAGTTGTAACTTTCTTAATTTCGCCAAATTGCAAGCTAAGGAATCCAAATGAGCAATTTTTTAGTTTATATGTCCTTAGGGATTTAGTCCTGGAGTTTTCCTTTTTTTTAATCTTGTTTATGAACTTTCCTTTCTTTTGGAAATTAATTTAGTAATATTTTGATTTCGTTAAAAGAACTAAAAAATGGTAGAATACGGCAGCTCCCTTTAGTCATTTTGTGCTAGCAATAAAACTCTCCAACTTTTCTCTCTATCTCTTCCTCTTCTTTTTCTCTTCTTTCTTTTCTTTTTCTTCTCATCCAATCTTTTCATTGTTTTTTATTTTATGAGACTTTTCTAATCTTGTTAGTAGCATATTTGGCAAAACCAGAAACGAATCGGGATTCATCATTCTGAAAGTTTTGTGGTGAATGTGGATTGATATTAAAACTCGAATAAAAGCATTATAAGAAATTGAGCAACAAAGCTAAGAATCAACAAGGTTCATTAAAAATCAAGTACTCATAGAATCTTTTCTGGAATTTAATAGGTACATGGGAACTTTTCTTTATAATTCAACAAGCACTCTAGGAACTCACCCTTCAAATGTTGAAGAGCATTCTGAGAAGCATTATAATAAATAGTGCAACAAAATAGAGAATCAGAATACATGAACGATTAAGTACTCATAGACACCTTCCCTAGAATAGAGTTGAGTACTTAGGGAACTTGTCTCTATAATTCAAATTGTACTCTAGGAACTCATCCCTCATATTGAAGACGAGGGGATAGTTGTCGTCCAAAATTCAAATTTGTCTAAGGGAGGTAGAGATCACCTTATCAAAAGATTACTGTCTTTCAAAGAAGAAAAAAAAATTGAAGTTTTTCAAAGAAGAGTTCAACTCATTCAAGAACCCAAAGTTTTCCACGAAAAATCAATAAATAGGCTAAATTAAACTGAAAAATCTTGAATTTATTTCTCTTATAGAAAAATTTTCTTTTTGTTTAAAAATAATGAAAAAGAAGAGGCGTGAGGAAAAATTATAAGAGGTGAGATATAAAAATTGAATATTTAACTTGTAAAATGTTGAAATCGACCGATTTTAAAGTTAACATATTGATGACATAGATTAATATTAAAATTTTCTTTTTAAATGAATACTTAGCTAATTAAATTAAATATAAAATAACTTGAGTTTTAAATTAAAGTGATCTTTGCTTATGATCAAATTAAAAAATTATAATACTACTTCTTGTAGAAGAGTTAAGGCTTTGTTACGTTGATACCTAGCCTAAGGATAATTTTGTCTTTTATTAGTTAAAGGGCAATTTAGTCTTTATTGTTAGTTATTGTTTGATATAAATAGGGCTTAATAGTTTAGGATTAGGGTTATGCATGAGATTGTCTGAGTCTTAGGGTTAGGTTTAGTCTTTATTATTAAGGTATCTGAGCGTGTTATTTGGAATTTTTGCAATAAAATATTTTGTTTGCCCTATTTTGTGCCAAAACAATTGATCTTTGGGAAATTATGACTGAATCGCGTATAGGTTTATATCAAAGAAGCAACTAAGATATTTCGACTACAAAAGAATTCCGGGAATCGAAATCAGAGCTTACATGCAGTACGGTTTCGATAGAGCTAGCTGGGAAGTGATGATGGGATTGCGGTATGCCTCCATACAACGCGATTTGAGCTAGCTGGAACGGCTGAATCGTGACGTATTAGGAACCAACAATTGCACGATTCGAGAGCTTGTTGGGAAGCAGCGTCGGGATCGCGACGTACAAGGAACCAACAATCGCTCCATTTGGGAGCTAGCTGAGAAGAAACGTCAAGATTGCGGCTTAGACATCTCAACTGCTTGTGTATTCTTCGATCTGGGAAGCAACGTCGGGATCGTGGCATACACGTCTCATCCACATGCAAATTCTTTGATTTGGGTATCCACCAATAGGATCGTAGCGTGCATAAATTCCTTATGAGTACAACAGAAGCCTTCACGATAAAAAAAATTTCTTAGGTGTAATGGCGGCCAAGAAATTGGATGTCTTGGAGGAGAAATTGGAGGGAGAGATGAGCCAAATCAGATCTAGGATGGAGGAAAGGTTCTCCACCATAGAAGGAAGGTTTTTTTCATAGACAATAGGTTTTCTTCCATGAAAAATTGAGGGTCGATTTGAGAGAATTGAGGAGATGATAAGGAGGCTTATTGAGATGTAATCCAGGATTTCACCGACGACTCAATTTGCAAACTTTAACAAAGGGTTGACCGGAGAATCCTTGGCCAAATCAAAATGAAAAGAGAGCAAATGAGAGGAACATGAAGAGGAAAGCTTCCACCAACAAGAAATCGACCCTAGGATTTCGATGGTTGGTGGATTAGAGAATTCCAATGGAGGGCTTGGGCTGAAAGTTGGAGAAGGGGTTATGCAATGGGTATTGATGGGAACGAAGGAAGGGGAGAAGCCATGATGTGGTATGATGATGGTCGAAAGAGGGAGTTTACTCTAGAATGGGGGGAAACATAGAGGGAGAGGATGTTGGGGGAGATGTTAGGGTTAGGAAGTTGATGCCGATCTCAAGGGGGAAGACACATATGGGTAGTTGTATTAGGTGGAGCAATATTTTACGGTGAATAGGTTAAATAGGATGAAGAAGCTCATGGCGGCAGGGTTAAGTTTGGATGGGAAAACCCTAACGTGATTTCTATGAAGAGAGGCTAGATACCTGATCTGCTCATGGGAGTAATTTAAGGGTTATTTGTTATAACGTTTTTCAACCATTCGAGTAGGAGAACTATACGAGCAATGCTTTGCCTTGACTCAGTAGAGCATTATCTTGGAATATAAGAAGAGATTCGAGCTATTATCGAGACTGTTGGGGGGGGATTTTTGAAGCAGTATTGGAATGGAATTCCATGAAGGTTATAAGCCCGACATACATTCAATGCTTTGTTCTTTGAGATCGTGAAGATTGAGTGAAATTATGGAATTACTGTAGTAGGTTGAAGATAAAAAAAGCAATTGAACGGGCTAATAGGAGTATCACAAGTGGGGTGCCCCATTGAAATGCTGCAACCACCGTGTTACCAAAAACTCAAACAGTGAAAGTCTAGAGGGGACATGAGTGTTATGAGATACCCAAAATAAAAAGCAACTCTGATACAGTAGTAAAAAAGTACTTTAATGAGAAACAGAAGGCTGGGATTGTAAAATTAATTTTCAAAAGCTTTCTTAGATGTGCTTGTCTTCTGGTAAAAATAGAACAGATACTTCCAGGATAAGTTTTCAGATCTTCCTTTGATGAATAACTCTTAGAAACTCAATTTATCCTAACGTTTTTATGCAAATATGAAAAATTTAAAGTTATTTTTTCTTTTCTTTTTTACTTCATTTTCCAACTTCATGTCCATGATTTTGTGCTTTTAGTTTTATCAATATTTGGTCATTTTTTTTTTTGTAGTTCAACACCATTTATAGATGTTTGGAATTTATCTTATTCATCCAAAGGTTTGATATGTGTTTGACTCTTCTAGTTCATTGAAACATTTGTCATTAACTGTTTATTCTCAATCTCCTGTGTTTTACAGTTCCTAAACCGCAACGGCCTTGAGTGCAGTGATCTAGAAAAAATATACATAAAGGATCAAACTCTTAGCAATGAAAGTAAGGCAATATATTCACACTCATCGTTTAACTATTATTTATTTATTTTTAAATTATTTTTAACTTTATAAGTTCTTACTTTTAATATGTGATTTCGTTCAATAGGTGTTGACAAAATAGTTGGTTTTGCTCTTAGTCACCATCTCAAGAACAATAACGAACGGATTAATCCCAAGGATGCTAAGCTTGCCCTCTCCAGTGAAAGGTTTTGCTGTGAAAATTTTTATTTTGTGCTGATTATCATCATTTGATTTATTTATATCATCTACTAATATACTTCTTTTCATGTTATGCAGCATCATGTATGGTCTTAGCTTGCTTCAAAGCTTGCAAAGTGATACTAAAAGTTCAAAGAAATCACTAAAGGTGGCATCTTTGTTCTCTTTCCTATTTAACTGAAAATATTATAATTTTATCCAAATTTTCTTTTTTCCTAATTAATAATTTGGGTCCTCAGGATGTGGTCACAGAAAACGAGTTTGAGAAAAGGCTTTTGGCTGATGTTATTCCACCTAGTGAAATTGGTGTTAGTTTTGATGACATTGGGGCTTTAGAACAGGTTAAAGACACGTTGAAGGAGTTAGTGATGCTTCCTTTGCAACGACCAGAATTATTTAACAAAGGGCAGTTGACTAAGGTATTGAGCATTTCAGTTTAAGTTCTTTTTAAAGCAGTAATTGATCCATTTTTTCTTGCACATCTATTTATTTGACAAACCCAATATGCAAAAACTTTAATAGTTTATTTACAATTTTCTATAATTGTGTATACAGAAGTGCCAAATCACCACTAAAATTAGCATTATTTTGGGAGATGTTGAACCGGAGCTTGCAACTTTGATCCATTTAGGGTGGCTGTAGTCTTTAGTTAATGTGGTTGTAAATTTGTGCAGAAGAATGAATATTTTTTTATGGAGAAGTTGGACAACAACTTCTTTACCTCAACCACAATTTAGCAATTTTGGTTGTAAAGAGAAGATTCCAACTAAAATTTCTGAGAAGTAGTAAAGAAGCAGTAACCAAAGCGGTCTGAAAAGCAAAGCAGTTATAAAGAAGTCCTTTTTTTTGGCTCTTTCTTTTCATATGATGCTTACTTTTATGTTTTCTTTTGTTTGATCACTGTTGAATTTGGGACGTCTTTCTTAAAATAGCATGATATGTTATATTTTTCTTATGCTTTTCAGCCTTGCAAAGGAATACTGCTTTTTGGCCCCCCAGGCACCGGCAAAACAATGCTTGCGAAAGCTGTTGCAACGGAGGCGGGTGCAAATTTTATTAACATTTCAATGTCTAGCATCACATCAAAGGTAGCAATCTGTTAGTACTTCTCATAATTAACTTCATCTAGAAGTTTAACATCTACATTGACGTTATTGTCCTTTTTCTCAACTTTTTGAAGTGGTTTGGTGAGGGGGAAAAATATGTAAAAGCTGTATTCTCCTTAGCAAGTAAAATTGCTCCCAGCGTTATTTTTGTTGATGAGGTAAGGCTCCTCTTACCATCATTCTTTGTTTTTGATTAGCGGGTGCTGAACTGCTTAGCTGCTTATTTAGTCTCTTATAGTTCTTTTTTTGCTGTTTAGGTTGACAGTATGCTGGGTAGAAGGGAAAATCCAGGAGAGCATGAAGCCATGCGCAAGATGAAAAATGAATTTATGGTGAACTGGGATGGGTTGCGCACAAAAGATAAAGAGCGTGTTATTGTTCTTGGAGCTACCAATAGGCCATTCGATCTTGATGAGGCTGTCATAAGGAGACTGCCACGGAGGTAGTGCATATAATTAAATTGAAAATTTATATACCTAGCATACAACTCTTATGTATATATATCTCACACCTAACTTTCATTTTTACATACATCACACTTTGGTGCTTCAAGCCTTTGCATGGAAAGGTGTTTTCACTTTTAAGTAGTGTTGATAGTGCTGTTTTTGATGTGATATTAAAAATTTGAGTGCTATGTATGTAAATATGGAAGTTTAGGTGTGACTTATGTAAATACATTAGAATTGTGTGCTATGTAGGTAAATGTCCCTAACTAGATTGACACAATTTTGCATCTGAGTGATGAATAGTATGGTGTATAACTGTTTTATAAAATAATTATCTCAGATTGATGGTTAATTTGCCGGATGCGTCAAATAGAGAAAAGATTTTGAAAGTCATACTAGCCAAAGAAGACTTGGGATCAGAAGTAAATTTTGAAGCAGTTGCCAATATGACTGATGGATACTCTGGAAGTGACCTAAAGGTTTTTGCTCGTAGTCATTTTTTTGTCATATTTTTTAATGCTTTTTTTAAACCACTAGGCTAATCATTTCCTTCTCCTCTACATTTTTTTCTTCCGTTTTTAAGAATCTTTGCGTGACTGCTGCACATCGGCCTATTAGAGAAATTTTGGAGAGGGAAAAGAAGGTTTGTGTGGAAAACTAACAATGTTCCCTTGTTTGGTGCTGAATGTTCTTTTAGCATTTATTGTATTAGTTACTTTTGCAACTAGCATTACCAGTTTCTCAACATTTTTAGGAGAGAGATCAAGCACTTGAACAAGGAAAACCCTTCCCACCGTTGCGGAGCTGGGTGGACATTCGTCCTCTTGGGATGGATGACCTGAAATATGCACATGAGCAGGTGACTTCTGTTTTTCATTGTTTTCTTTTTAAAGTTTGGAAAATTTGGTAGCATTGATGTGTTGCATTTAATCTATCCGCAATCATTTTGATTAAATTTTTAATTAACTATATAGTTTAAATCATGAGCATGGATTTTAAAATTTCTAATTAACTATATATATAATTTATATGTACTGGAAGTCTTAAATTTATATTATTTGCATTCTTTTTTATTATTCGTCTTAAATTGTACACCCAAAATTCTATGTTGTAAGGGAAAACTGGGCCACTTGACTATTGGTTAATCTACGTTTTGCCCTTATCTGAAATAACAGCTATGATATAATATCTGATGAGTGGGATAAATAATTCTAATATAAAATTCAAAATATAAGAACAGGGGAGAATATGCATCTAGTCTTCCAAACTATTATGAGTATTAATATCAATTAAAAAGCCAATTCGGTGCAATAGGTTTGAAATTAGGATATAATTTGTTAATTAAATAATTGAAAGACTTGAGCATGAGCAATAAGCATGATTGTTTGCAAGAAATAAACTGCAGTTGTCAAGTTTCAAATTATTTAATGCGTTAGGACAAATGCTTTATCAAATTACTTGCTTTTTTTTGTTTTTTCTTCTCATTGGTCATGGCCCTATAAGCGTAATATAATTTCTGTATAAGTTTTGAGACATTTATATCATTTGCTTGTCACCTAGCTTTTTAGCCCTTATAACTATTAAGAAGGCTTGTACTTTGGATTTAGGGTCTGTTTGGGGCAACTGCAGCTTGTCCAACTTATTCAGATAAGCATCTTATCCTGATAAGTTGCTGATCAACAGCTGATCCGGATATGCTGTCTGACTGTTTGATTTGAGCGTTTGTAAACAAATGATTCAATACACGACATCGAACTGATGCTAGAAACCTCGAACTTGGGAAGTCGAAGCAGGACATCAAATGAAAGGTCGAGAGAGATCACCACTAGGGTTCATAGTACTCGTACGGGGTAATAGAAAAAGAACAACGAAGTGAGTTCGCAGGATCCAAGCAATGGTTTGCAGAGCGGAGACCGATGTTGATATGTACGAAGAAGCCGTAGTTCCTTAGTGACCGAACCCTTGCGATGTCAGAGGAGCAGGCTGACATGAGGTACGATGAGGGGACTGCTTCGCCGAAGAAGCAACGATAGTGAGGTGGCACCGGCTGGAGCGGAGGAGCATGGGGTCGCTAGTGAAGTGTTCGAATTCGAGCAACTTCAACGATGTGAAGTGTTCGACTTCGAGCAGCTTCAACGATGAGAGGGAGAGTCAAACGAGAAGAAGAGCGGGGTGGTTCCTTGAGCAAACGAGGGCAGGAGCGTAAAATAAAGGAGCGAACGCGAACGTGGGGGTTACCCCTGCAGTTTTAAGACAAACAGTGAGACGACGTTTTCAAAACGCCGCTCGCACTTATAAGCCGCCCCAAACGGGCCCTTAATCCAACATGACAGCTATCAACTGTCCCTAAATAAGATTTGGACTACACCAACTTGATATTTAGCAACTGTTGAGATTTTGTTTGGTTCCTATTAAGGCTCAATTTAAAAGAACTTTTACTCTTCTCTGTGCAAATCATGATAATCTGCAAATTTATCGCACATTAAATAATTTTTTTGGGCTTATTTAATTTTTTTGCATCATTGTTATAGGTATTTAAAATATTTTTACATTTTTATACACATGTTATTACCAATTTGTATTTACATCTATTGAAGACATGAGCATGATAACTGTTGGAATATATGTTTAGGAATGCTTATTGAGTCTCGGCTTAATTGAGTCAAGTTTGTTCCCCAATTTTAGGAGTTAGTTGCTATTTTCTTGATCTTGTTTCTTTCTTAGCTGTTTTCAAGTTTTTTTCCTGGAAGTTTGTTATTAGCTCCAAGTTTAAATACTGTAAGGCTGCGTAAAAGATGTGTGGTTCTAATTTCAAGGCTTTGCTGGAAGGAAAGGTGTAAGGCTACACAAAAGTTGAAATACTTTTGTGTAGCCTTACTATTCCATGCAGAGCTCTCTTTTCAAGAAACCAGTTGTTTGGTATCAGAGCTCTCTTATTAAGGGGCCTGTGTGCGAGTTTGAGCAGTTATGGAGATCGAAGCTAATTTTTTCTCAGTTGCTCCACCAACTTTGAATCTCTGGAAAGCAGTGGAAGAAGACTATGATATTCCTTTTCTCTCTAAAAATCCCATCGTAGCACAAATTAAAGCGCCAAAGGAGAAGAAAACGAGGAAGTCCAAGGCAAAAGCTTGCCTGTTTGCTGCAGTTTCCTCCACGATCTTCACTCGTAACATGTCGTTGAAAATGACAAAGGGGATTTTGGATTATCTCAAATTCGAATATGTAGGAGATCAAAGAATTCGAGGGATGCAGGTGCTAAACTTGGTTCGTGACTTTGAATTTCAAAAAGACAAAAGTGAAGGAGACAGAAACCATAAAGGAGTACTCTGACAGACTACTCAACATAGCAAATCGTGTCAAATTATTGAGTTCTTCTCTGGAAGATTCAAGGATTGTTCAGAAAATCCTTGTAACAGTGTTTGAAAAATTTGAGGCTATCATCACCACCTTAGAAAACACGAAGGATATGTCAATGATTGCTTTGACAGAACTCTTAAGTGTTTTACAAGCACAAGAGCAGAGACGTGTGATGAGAGGAGCCGTCGAAGGAGCTTTACAAGTCAAGCATCAAGATGATGAAAATAATAGGTGGCTCAAGAACAAGAAGTTTTATGCTACAAGTTGACAAAGATTTGCACCTAAGAACAAAAACTAAATTGAAAAAGATTAAGAGTAAAAAAAAGATTACCCTCCTTGTCAACATTGTGGCAAGAAAGATCATCCTCCTTTCAAATGCTGGAGAAGACCAGATGCAAAGTGCAACAAGTGCAATCAAATGGGACATGAAGCTGTCATATGCAAGAATAAAAATAGTAGCAAGGAGATGAAGCACAAGTGACAGATCAAGAAGAAGATGATCGGCTTTTTGTTGCAACTTGTTTCACGAGTTATGAAACAAGTGAAAACTGATTCATTGATAGTGGTTGAACTAATCATATGACACATGACAAGGAGTTGTTCAAGGAATTGAAGAGAACCGAGTCCATGGTGAATATATTGTGAATATATTGCAGTCAAAGAGCAGTCAAAGAAAAGGGCACCGTAGTCATTGCAAGCTGTTCAGGAACCAAGTTGATCACCGATGTTCTCTATGTACCAGATATTGATCAAAACTTGCACAGTGTTAGTCAATTAATAGAAAAAGGATTCAAAGTGATATTCATGGAGAAGACCTGTGTGATAGAGGATGATACGGGCCAAAAGATGTTTGAAGTTAAGATGGCAGGGAAGAGTTTTTCACTCAATCCAATGCATGAGGAACAAATTGAAAGCACTATGAAGATTCAATCAACAATTGAGATGACTGAGCATGTGAAAGTTGATGCAGGGCTGAGGGAATTAGAACTAGAGTCAACCTTACAGAAAACAACTGTAAAACTTTTAGAGTTGAAAGATCGCCTTTTGAGTGTGGAAACAAAACTCCAAGCCATGTCACGAATTGAAAGATGAAATAAATAAGACAATGGCGAGCCAATTTGATTCGGAGATGAGGACGATAAAGGCTACTACAGAAGTCACAGAACTGAAAGCAAACCTCTTGGATAAGGAGACACAACTGCAAAGCATTATGGATATGGATGAGAGATGAGAATGAACAGCTAAAATCGGAGCTCAAGAGAGACGGAGCATCAGGAGAATTATGCTGCAGTTATATTGGATGTTGAGAGAGCAAAAGCTGCAGAACAAGAAGCACTGATGACACTAGGTGTTGTCAATGAGGAGGCTGAAAGAATAACAAGACAACAAAGGTTTTGGAGCAGCTTGAGGCTGCTGAGGCAGTGCAATCAAAGATGGAGGCTTAGCTGAGGAGGCTTAGGATGCAGTCAAATCAATGGAGAAAGGCAACAGAAGCAGCTGCAACAGTTCTCACACCAGGGAACAATGACAGAATAGTTGAGAGGACGGGCTCTCTTAAATCAAACTACAATTAACTGCTCCCTGGGAAGCTGCTAAGCTCCCGACGACTTGACGACTTGGATGATGATTCTCCCAAGAGGAAGAATGACAATATGCTAAGGAAAATTTTAATGGATCTCAATCTGGAGCAGAAGAAAGCACTGAAATTTTTGTTGACAACCAAACTATCATTTCCATTTCGCATAATCTTGTGTTTCATAGAAAAACTAAGCATTTCAACATCAAGTTATTTTTTCTAAAAGAAGTGCAGAAAGAATAATTTGTGACTTTGGTTTACTGCAAATCTGAAGATCAGTTGGTGGATTTGTTTACAAAGTCACTTCCAATCATCAAGTTTAAGTTTCTAAGGCAAAAATTTGGTACTCGCAGCTCCTAAAGCAAGGAGTTTTGAAATACTTGCTTATGACTGCTTATTGAGTCTAGGCTTAATTGAGTCAAGTTTATTCCTTAATTTTAGGAGTTAGTTGTTATTTTCTTGATCTTGTTTCTTTCTTAGCTGTTTTCAGGTCTTTTTCTTGGAAGTTTGTTATTAGCTCATAGTCTAAATATTGTAAGGCTACACAAAAGGTGTGTGGTTCTAATTTTCTCTTCAATCTACAGCAATTCTCTTAAGTCTTGATATTTAGCGACTGTTGAGATGTTGTTTGGTTTTTATTAAGGCTCAATTTAAAAGAACTTTTACTCTTCTCTGTGCAAATCATCATAAACTGCAAATTTATCGCACATTAAATATTTTTTTTTGGGCTTATTTAAATTTTTTGCATCATTGTTATAGGCATTTAAAACATTTTCACATTTTTATACACATGCTATTACCAATTTGTATTTACATCTATTGAAGACATGAGCATGATAACCTGTGATAAAATTATGTGGTTACTTGAACATACTAATCGAATAATAAAACAATTGTAAAAGTTGCATTATATGATAAACACATGC